ACCGCCAAGCCAGAGTCCCCTGACCCCCCACTGCTCACACAGTCTGTGGTCAAGGGCAGCTCTGGAGGGGCTGTTTTAGCAAAGCCCCTGTCAACACTGCCCTCTCCCTGCTCCGGACCCCCATGAGGGGATGCAGGACCCCCTGGGCAGGGTGAGACGGCAGGGTCCATTACAGCAGCGTCTGTAATGTCTCTCCAGAACATTCCATTTGCTTAGGACACACTATTTTATGAATCTGTTTGAAAGTGGACATTTTTTGGTTCTCTGGGCCTTCTAGCTCGTTTTATCCTCCACGTTTCCCCTTTTCTGTCCCCTGCAGCCCACATCCCTTACTCCTTGCTAGTGACCCCTTCACTTCGGTAGCAGCTCTTGCCTTAACAGTGGGAAAAAAACCTCACATAGCAATCAGTGGTTTCAAAAGTCACTGACCCTGCCCTCACATAATACTGGTAATCTCACACTCTCGGGCTGATCTTAAATGCAGTTATTTTGTTTGCTTGGGGGCTGTGGGGTGGAGAGGAAGTGGCCTGCACCTCGATCCACTTTGGCTCAGACCCAGCTCAGGTCGGAGGGTCCCCAGACGCAGGAGGTGCTCTGGCCCCCACTTACCCACACTCGCAGGGATGTGGCTGATGCTGCTGCAGATGGTGGTGACCCCAGAACGTGCCTCCTGTTGCACGCTGGTGTTGAGGACAGCCATACCAAATTTCTGCCCATTGATCACCCCAATCATGCTGCCCCGGCTCCCCCGGGGCTCCCCTGTGAGGAAGGAAGAGAACAAGAGTGACACTATCCACCTCTGTGCCCTCAGGGATATGCATACTGTTTTCCATTTCATGAAGGAGTAAACCGAGGCTCAGAGAGGGGCAGTAACTTGCCCAAGGACACACAGCTAATGGGTGATGAACTCAACACTCAGGGGATCCTGGCTTCTAGACAGAAGGGAGACATTTAAGAGGAGCCCCACACAGGGATGGTGCCAGCTTCTAATTCTGGCTCCGCCATCACCTTCTTGAAAACCTGGGCAAGTCTGGCCCCCAAGCCACACCTGAGTTGGCTTATCTATAAAATGAGGAGGTGGGACCACAGATGCACCAAAGACCTGTTGGGTTCTAAAATGCCAGGTGATGGGGGCGGTGGGCCTGGCACACTGGAGGAGCCAGGGAGGAGAGGCAGGGCACCGGGCCAGGAAATGAATGCTGCCACCTGAACGCTTCCCATTCCATCAGTGGCCCTGGCCCCAGCCGCCCCGCAGCTGGCCCAGCTGGGGTGGGTTGAATTCCTAGCAGCCGCCAGGCAGTCTGCTACCAGATGCTCTTCAGCACTAATCAAATGGATTATACAGGCACAGGGGGATGCTTCCTCTGGCTAATGGGCCAGCTGCCTCGTTTGGACAGATGGCAAGAGACAGAAGCTAGCCTGACTCTCCACTCACCAGCCCTCAGGGGAAATTGACAACAAATTGCCAATGATCTGTCAAAAAAAATAACATACAACACTCAACTGCCAAGATCCTAAGTGGGTAGATCAGGGGGCTGGTTAATTTTGGATTCCAGGAAGCAATGCCATTTCCTGCAGCCCTCGGCTGGGGTTTGATGAGATTTGATGCCCATCTGGGATGTCTCTCGTCAATATCTGCAGCTCTGGGATTTATGGGGGGGGACAGGAAAAGGCCATGAACCTTCCCCTGGCCTTGTAATAAGGGGGTAAGGAGGTGTCGGGAGCAGCAGATAAGAAGGCAGCAGCATGACCCTGGCAGTTTCAGAAGGGGACAGGAAATTGGAGGCCAGGAATGACAAGCCACTGGCAACCTTCTCAGACATGAGGTGACTCAGCAGCCTCTTGTCCCCCACAAGGCCAGGATGCCCCTCCCCAGACTTATGGGAAAGGAGGGAGAGAGTTAGGGGGCCACGACGCCTTTGAGTATCTTTTATATAGCAATGTCCCTTGAAGGAATTTACCCTATAGAAATATTCAGTCCAGCACACAAAGATGAGCACCACAGGACGGTTTTTGGAGGGGAAACTGGAAAAAACAAAACAAAACCCCACAAACCTGTTGTTTATTTAATGAAGCCAACAGCAATTAAGTTTAAAACATGTTCCTATGGGGCTTCCCTGGTGGCGCAGTGGTTGAGAGTCCGCCTGCCGATGCAGGGGACGCGGGTTTGTGCCCCGGTCCGGGAAGATCCCGCTTGCCGCAGAGCGGCTGGGCCCGTGAGCCGTGGCCGCTGAGCCTGCGCGTCCGGAGCCTGTGCTCCGCAGCGGGAGAGGCCACAACAGTGAGAGACCCACGTACCACAAAAAAACCCGAAAAACAAAAACATGTTCCTATGGAATGGTATGAAATCATTACAGAAGGTGTGAACTAGACTATTGCCCATGATCGAGTAAGAAAATATGGCAGGTTGTAAACACAACTTGCACACTTGACCTCATTTGTAAAAAGAAAAAAGTCTATCTCTTTACATTCAGAGAAAAAGTGTAGAAATATATACCCCAAATAATTACCTGAGCTATTTCTAAATGAATTGTGGGAGCTAACTGATCATTACTTTTTTCTTCACACATTTAAAAAAATTATCTGGCCTTTCTACAATTAACATACACAAGGTACACATTAGTTGTTTCCATTACAAAAGTAAGGATGCTGTTATGGGTTGAACTGGGTCCTCCGAAAAGGATGTGCTGAAGCCCTAACCCTCGGTACCTGAGCACGTGACCTTATTTGAATGTAGGGTCTGTACAGAGGTACCCATGTTAACATGACGTCATGAGGGTGGGCCCTAACCTAATATGACTGGTGTCCTTATATAAAGGGGAAATTTAGAGACAGACACGAGCACAGGGAGGATGCCACGTGATCATGAAGGCAGAGAGAGGGGTGACGCTTCCACAGTCAAGGAACTCCCGCAAACTACCAGAAGCTAGGGGAGAGGCCTGCAATAGATTCTCTATCACATATCTCAGAAGCAACCAACCCTGCTGGCACCTTGATCTTAGATTTTCACCCTCCAGAACTGCAAGATCATACACTTCTGTTGTTTTAGGCCCCGCTGGGCAGGGAATCCCACCCATGTCCACAAAGGTCTGGGCAGAGAGGCTCCATACCTCTCACGGCCAGGAATGCCCCGGCT